GGCGACCTGTGCTCTGGCGCCTCACCCGGCTCTGCCCGGACGGGCGTCGGCGCCGCCCCCACGCCCTGGGTCCGATGGTGCCGCCGCCGGCGGGGCCGGGCTCCCTTCCCTACGGACCGGGCTCCCCTCCCTCCGGGCCAGCCGCCCCCTTCCCCGCGGGCCATTGTGAGGTCAGGCCGGCGGGCGCGTAGTGGGGGCCCGGGCGAGACGCCCAGAGCGGCCGCAGCGGCCGGTAGCTGCCGCCGCCACCGCCGGCCCCTTCACCGGCTGCCCCGTTCAGATCTAGCCGGGAGGGGTGAGAGCGATGCTGCTTGGGGCCCAGCTCCGGTGCTGCACCCCGTAAAGGGCTGATCTTCCATCTCGCCACCTCACCTACGGGAAGCCAAGACCAAATCAGCTCAGACCTCTTCCGGGTAAAGTGCTGGGAGGGAAGGGTGAGGAGGGGAGGGGAGGAGGAAGGCAGCCTGTCCTCCAAAGGCAGGTTCTTGGCTCGAACACCCACCACGGATTGGTTTCAATTGATTATCCAGCCCCTTCCAGTGAGCTGTTTGGTAGAAACCCAAGAGCAGGAAAAAAATGCGTTAAGTCATTCTGGACTCTTAATGGGAGGCTAGTGAATGAATTATTCATAGTTGTCACATTTTTGTGGGATGTATTGGGGGAGGAGGGGAGCATGATAGGCATGGGGAGGTACTCGGGCCTCCAAAGCCCAAGATGGTGCCTTTAACGTAATCCCAGTCGCGTTTCCTGTGGAATTCCATACCTCTGTAGAGAAGATTTGTGAGGTACTAAAAGGGTGAGATGAGAAACAGGGTAGCTTTGTAGAAGTGCATAAAGGGATGGAGAGGAAGGTAGAAAGGGGGACTTTGGGGGGGTGTCTGGGAACCACTGGTATTTGTTTCGCTTTGAGTTACTTTTTCTGGAAACTAGGCATAGCTTTTTGGCCAGGTGTGGTGCTTAGGTGGTACTATATCGTTTGGAAGGTTAGAAGAGCTACTGTTTCACATTCCACAAAGGTCCCCTGCTGGTGCCAGAAAAACAGCTTCCAGTGTCAGCACCTAAGATAGTTGTGCTCTTTCCAAGGTGATAGTTCAACTTCACGCTGTACTTATGAAGACACATGCTACCCTCTTGTACACTTGAAGAAACTTGAAATTCACAGGTCCAGAGCACCAGGTCGTTTTGGACGCTGCAGTAACCCCTGTCTGTTCTTTTTTTTTTTTTTGTGAGGAGATCAGCCCTGTGCTAACATCCGCCAATCCTCCTCTTTTTTTGCTGAGGAAGATGGCCCTGGGCTAACATCTGTGCCCATCTTCCTCCACTTTATATGGGACGCCGCCACAGCATGGCTTGCCAAGCAGTGCGTCGGTGCGCGCCCGGGATCCGAACCAGCGAACCCCGGGCCGCCGCAGCGGAGCGCGCGCACTTAACCGCTTGCGCCACCGGGACGGCCCCACCCCTGTCTGTTCTTAATCGCTGCTGTGTTTACATTATTTTCAGGAGAGGGAGTTGGTTAATCACTGCTTGAGTATGACTGTCATTTGGATTACAATAATAACAAGCCCTTTTTCTTAGGTATATCTTTTTAAAATGAGAATTTTAGAGTGAATTAATATACAGTTACCGTTTTGCAGAGACTTTGTGATATAATCGGTTATCATTCTTGTCATCTTTCAGTGCTTGTGAAACTGAACACAACAGAAGTATGGATATGGGCAACCAACATCCTTCTATTAGTAGGCTTCAGGAAATCCAAAAGGAAGTGAAAAATATAGAACAGCAAGTAATTGGCTTCAGTGGCCTGTCAGATGACAAGAATTACAAGAAACTGGAGAGGTTTCTAACAAAACAACTTTTTGAAATAGACTCTGTAGATACAGAAGGAAAAGGAGACATTCAGCAAGCTAGGAAGAGGGCAGCACAAGAGACAGAGCGTCTTCTCAAAGAGTTGGAGCAGAATGCAAACCACCCACACCGGATTGAAATACAGAACATTTTTAAAGAAGCCCAGTCCCTGGTGGAAGAGAAGATTGTGCCATTTTATAGTGGAGGCAACTGTGTGACAGATGAATTTGAAGAAGGCATCCAAGATATCATTCTGAGGCTGACACATGTTAAAACTGGAGGGAAGGTCTCCTTGCGGAAAGCAAGGTATCACACTTTAACCAAAATCTGTGCAGTGCAAGAGATTATCGAAGACTGCGTGAAAAAGCAGCCTTCCCTGCCGCTTTCCGAGGATGCGCATCCTTCCGTTGCCAAAATTAACTCTGTGATGTGTGAAGTGAACAAGGCCAGAGGCACTCTAATTGCACTCCTGATGGGGGTGAACAGTAACGACACTTGCAGGCACTTGTCTTGTGTGCTCTCAGGGCTGATGGCTGATCTGGATGCTTTAGATGTGTGCGGGCGTACAGAAATCAGAAACTACCGAAGGGAGGTAGTAGAAGATATCAACAAATTATTGAAATATTTGGATTTAGAGGAGGAAGCAGGCACTACTCACGCATTTGACCTGAGACAGAATCATTCCATTTTAAAAATAGAAAAGGTCCTCAAGAGAATGAGGGAAATTAAAAATGAGCTTCTTCAAGCACAAAATCCTTCTGAATTGTACCTGAGCTCCAAAACAGAATTGCAGGGTTTGATTGGACAGTTGGATGAGGTAAGTCTTGAAAAAAACCCCTGCATCCGGGAAGCCAGGAGAAGAGCCGTGATTGAAGTGCAAACTCTGATCACCTACATTGACTTGAAGGAGGCCCTCGAGAAGAGAAAGCTGTTTGTTGGTGAGGAGCACCCATCACATAAGGCCGTCTGGAGCATCCTTGGGAGCTTGTCAGAGATCCAGGGAGAAGTTCTGTCATTTGATGGAAATCGGACTGATAAGAACTACATCCGGCTGGAAGAGCTGCTCACCAAGCAGCTGCTAGCGCTGGATGCTGTTGATCCGCAAGGAGAAGAGAAGTGTAAGGCTGCCAGGAAACAGGCAGTGAAGCTCGCCCAGAACATTCTCAGCCATCTTGACTTGAAGTCCGATGAGTGGGAGTACTAAAACGCCAGAGGTCTCCCGGTCGATATTGCCTGTTTTGCACTTTATATATACTTTTATGTATTTACAGAGAGCTTTCAGTTCATTGGGCCTAAATGAGATTTATACATGCATATTTCAATCTCAGTATTATGATTCAAGCAAATTATATTCAGTATCTCTGCTGCTTTTGATGTTGCAAAACAGATATCATTACAGCACGTTAACTTTTCCATTTGGATCACTGTATGTTGTGGTGTGGTTTCTTTTTTAATCAGAAGTAGAATAGGGACAGCTTTTGTAATTTTTAAATGGGTTGTGCAAGCATTAAAATGCAGATATTTCAGAATCTAGAAATAGACATAACCTAAATAATACTAGAACAATTATGAGAAAGGGGAAAATTGGGGGTTCATTAGAAGAAAGGTCCAAGCACAAAAGCAGTACAATGATATATTTTATTATGCTAAATAAGGCAGGAGGGTTTTTTTCATTTATAAAGCCTGCTTGCTCCCACCCAATTTCATAGGGTGGGATTTTTTGTTTGTTCCGATGGTCTGTTTCATAAACATTTTTTGTTTGAAAAACAGTGTCTGTGTTTTCCCCCATATTCTGCATTTAGAGGGGAGAATGTTATTTTTGTGTGCAACATAAGAAAATTATGAAAATTAATAGCAAAAAAGCCTCTGAGACTGCATTGGAGAAGGGATAAAACAGCAGCTAATACCTTCAAGTTTTTGTAAAATCTGAACTTACAAGTTTCCTTACTAATTAGTAAGGATGGGAACATTTAAAATGAAGTTAATGGACTTTAAAAAAAAAAGGGAAGCACTCCTACCTATAGTAGGATAATGAGAACTGGAGATTAGTTACCACTGTCAGGTTGTGCTGAAATTAAGCAAAAATGTCCGAATGTAGCATGTAATGGGCTGCTTCTGTGCTTCCAAGATGCGTAATGGACAGACTTGTTAAACATACGCAATGCTATTTTACAACATCTGACAGCAGGAACTGTCAGGAACCCTACAGGACCAGGTCTTTATAGCTTGTCAGAGAAGTTAGCATCAGCTACTAGCATCTTAAACGTCGCACTCTCTGGGCGAGGTAGCGAAAGCTGCTCTGAGCACTTGCTCCTTAGCTCATGTTATTGGCACGTGGATGTTCCTCTGGTGCCTAAAAGAGCCAGGAAAGTCTATCAGTGCACGAAGGTTTTTTCTTCTGCTAAAGGGTATACATATTTCTGTAAATACTTGCTGAGGATCCAGTTTTGTGGTTGCCTGTTACTGTGAGCAAAAGAATTCCCCGAAGTTCTCAAGTGCCTTGACGACATGTTGGTCCCAGTATTATAACTAGCAGACTTCTCTTTCTGTAGTCACCTTTCACAAAAATAATCAAATGGGAGTACATCTTTTGAGTTCAATAGAAATCTGTTATTCTGTTTCCAAGATAGTAATTTGGTAACTTTGTATAGGGAAATTATCACTTTAAACAGCTAAAAATATGATAAAGGAATAGTCCTAAATACCTAAAAGATAATAAAAGTGTAGCCCCAAACAAATTTTCACTTTGTCTCAGTATTGCCCAATAATAAAAGCCTTTGATATATCTTTCCTACTAGAAATGTTCTAGAATCGTTGGATGGTGGGGTCAAAGGGCAGTCGGGGTCTTTCAGCAGTGCCCCACCTGTCTGCACGGTCAGCTCCTGGCAGCTGTGGGTTCACAGTGCGGGTCATGGGTAGCTCAAGCTCGTGGTAGCCAAAGTCGTTTTAGGATTGCTATTCTGGGTCAGATTGTAGGGTGCTCTTAAAATCTTGAAGCTTTGAATTCAAGCTCCTTCTCACTTATACCACTGGGAAATCAAGGCTGTAGTCTAATTCACCTCACGCACACCCTGCACCAGGCTCTACGAATTAATTTTAATTTCAGATTCGAAAGTTAAATGTCAGTGTGTCCTTTAAAAGTATCCATTGTTCCTTGAAAGCAGATAGACCTCCCCTATCCTTTTACAGTGTTTTCTTTTGATGGCTTTTGTTGAGGTGGCCTGTACTGCTAAGCCTCGGGCGTTGGGTGTGAGTAGAGGACACCGACCTCTTCACAGTGTGTTGGATTTCTCACATGGTTGTTTTGGTCATCAAAACTATCAGATCCCCCTTGAGTGACTGTTAATGCATGACATTTTCTGTTCCCAGTCTTTTCTAGTTCCTTGTACCTGATTATTCTCCCATAGGGAGCCCTAGAGACACCGGACTTAGCTTTTCTTGTCTCTCGTTGGAGCTGTCTGTATATGGGCTGCCTGCCGCATGTAATTTTTAAATTGGACTCATCACATTGTTTTTTATGAACTTACATGAAGAGAATCTGTAATGGAAGTAAAACCTACCCCCTAAAAATGTTTGGCCTCGGGTCTGCATTAAACCATATCATCCGTGTTCATGCACAAAATGGCTGGGGATGCTTGCTTTCTTCACCTTACATGCAGTCAGCATCGCTGTCAGACGGTTCTTTATCCAAACAGATTCAAGTCAGTCAAGCTATAATGAAGTCGTTACGAAAGTAAATGTGAATATATCTACTAAGTATAGTTTAATCCTTTATTTTGCTAAAATGTCTTCGTATAATATATTTGATATTGTTCACTATATTTCAGAAGTTTAACCAGTTCTTCTCATTTGTCTTTGCCAATTTTTTTCTGGTTTTTGAGGGTCTAAGCTTATCCTGTACATAGAGGGTTTTTTTAAGCAAAGCTTTTCAGCTTTTAACTCGTGTGGTATTCTTAAGAATAATTGGAGAAATATTTGCCCTTGATTTTGATGTATATAATACAGATGTGGTGTTCCATTGTGTTGGTTCCTGTGCCCGCTCTGTTAACTGTACAACTATTGTAATAGTATGTCTTAAATAATTCAGTATTTTGAGATATACATATTAGTATACCATTAATTATTAATGAAATAAAAAAATCTCTTAGCTTATCTGTGCCATGGAGAAAGGATGTGAGCCTGAGGTGTGAGTTCTGTTCTGATGTTTTCACCTTCGTTTACTGTCTGACTAGGTAAGGGATAGTGTCTTACCAGAGTGGGCCAGGCACGGGGAAGCTGGGCTCCTTAGCTCCAGTTGGTGGCAGTGGTCTAAGGAGGTGGCAATGCTGAGCACAGACCAGGGTCCAGTCACTGGTGAAGGGGTGACTGTTCCTGTTTAAACAACCTGGAAAGTGTAGGGGCCAGGGGACAGCTGTCACACCCAGGGGAAATGTGGCCTCATGCCCCGCTCCTCAGACAGGATGCCCATAGGTCCATGTGCGCAGGAGTTGATTTGTAGAAAGGAAGAGAAACTGAGAAGTGGTTCTGGAAAGAAGCCCTTCTCAGTGGAGATGTTGTGGGTATTTCTGACTATTTAGTCCTTGCAGTGTTTCTGAAATGCTCTTCGTCTTCCTGAGCCCTCACCCACCCCCAGCTCGACCTCCAGTGAGGATGTGTCACGTTCACTTCGGGCAGTGGTCTGTCTGTCTGTCGTCAACCCTGTGCGTGACGGTGGAAACTTGTTTTTTCCATTTTAGCCTTTCCTGTGGGTACTTCTCTGTTGTCTTCTCTCTGCCTGCTGCTCTCTACCAAACAGAGAAGCAGAGGCAGCCTGCACAGCCATGCAAATCTATGATAGGCCCAGATGTGAAAAGAAACAAGTTGTACAGGCTAAAAAGAAATACTTTGGGAGAAATTTGAAATTTTTAATTAATCCTCTGCCACACACCGAGATGCACTATACCACATTAGGACTTTTTTTTTTGTTAAATGCTCTTTATTTGATGCTTTTGCATGCAAAGCACGATAAGGTGTTGCCCAACCCAACAAGTCAGCCCCTTCATCTCCCTTCATTATGGGGGCCGTGGGGAGGGTGCAGTCAGTGAGCCACCTTCTACGTAACCTTGCTGGAACCATTCTCTGGAGGCCTCTGCGTGGTTGCAAGCTCCTGTGAATCCAAGGCCCCGGGCCCACTGCGTGGCCTGCAAGCCCCACTTGCCCATCTGACAGAAGAAAGTGAGACTCTCCTCTGCCAGCTTTGGCCTCTCGGTGGAGTGCAAAGCCTGGAAAGCAGCTGGCTCCCTCTGCAGGGTGCTTTTCAGCCCTCCAGAAAGGTCCCAGCTGCCGCCTCCCAGATCTCACATCCAGTGAGCCTCCCGAGGCTGGGAGCAAGAGGAGTTGAGGGAACCAGCAAGGGGAGTCTGCGCTGCAGCCATGCTGTGCGCCACAATTGCGAGTTGTGGGAATGCACGTTAGGCTTTATTACTTACAGACATTAGAGACAGTGTTGTCAAGCTCTTACTGTGTGTTTAGTGCTGTGCTAGTGCTTGGAAAATGTCCATCATACTGTGTAGCCCCGAAGAAACCACAGTGTCATTGAGGCGGTAGAGGACATGATGACTGTCCTCTGGGTCTGTCTTGGGCATAAAGGCCTGGATGTCAGGAGAGCAGGGCAGGTGCAGAGTGCGGTGGAGAGATCAGTAGGCACCACAGGCCGGGGAGGCCGGGAGTGGGCTGGACAGTGATGATGCACAGGGCCTGAGGAACACTGCACTGGCAAGCTTGGCTCACTTCTAGGGTGCAAAAGCGCTAGTTGGAGGGCAAGCTAGGCCCAAATCGGGGGCCCCGGCTGCAGGTCTGCGGGTCCCAGGCTGTCAGGAAGTGTCTGAGGGTCTCTGCTATAGACGTAGACATAGCAATTATACCATTGCTCCTGGTATAATTGAAACACTTCCCTTTTCAAGTGATCATCAGTTGAGTGTTTCTGTGTGCCAGGCCCTGTGCGGAGCGTTCTCCGTGCATGTGTAACTCTCGGAACCATTCCCAGGCCGATGTTAGTGTCATCTCTGTTTCAGAGACTATTGGGACACTGGGGTTCACTTGCCCAAGGAACTGCCTGCAGCCGCACGGCTAATAAAAAATGCAAAACAGTCCAGTCTGGGACGGCACAGACAGCACGAATGGGCCCACGGCTGGTGGACCTGGAGGTCGGGGTCCCACCCGCGGGGATTCTGATTTCATTGGTGTGGTATGGGTGCAGTTGGGACATCAGGGTTTATAAAAGTTACCACATTCCTGAACGCTGGCCGAGCAGTGGAGAGCTCGGGCTGGAGCTCTGCCACTTGGAGCTGAGAAGTCAGCCCTGCTGAGCCTCAGGTCTTCTGATGGGGTCCTCAGCACTGCAGGTTGAGGCTCAACTAGTCGATACGAACCACATTGAGCTCTAAACGTCAGTAAACCAGGCGTCCATTTTAGTGGGAAAACTTGAGGAAATACTGTCTTAACAGACCAGTGTTTTCTTTCTGTCCCAGTGTCTTTTACTTGTGCATTATAACTGGAAAAAAATGTATCCTTCCAGCTTATCCTCAAAGTGAAATTGGTATTTCCCCTCTTAGGATCCGTAGACCTTCCCCAGCTACCAGGGGTCCGTGACTCCCAGTTTGAGGAACGCTAACTGCCTCCCGCTGCCTCTCCATCTC